AATTATACCTAGTGTTAATATATACCTCAAAAAATTATACCTAGTGTTAATATATACCCCAAAAAATTATACCTAGTGTTAATATATACCTCAAAAAATTATACCTAGTGTCAATATACTCCAAAAAATTATACCTAGTGTCAATATACTCCAAAAAATTATACCTAGTGTTAATATATACCTCAAAACTATACCTATTACTCTTTTAATCATTTCCCCACTGATAATTCTCTCTAAAACAGTTCAAATTGTGTTATCATTTGCCAAGAATGTCATTGTAGCCCCGTGAGTTAATGAGGGAAGTTTATTGTGAGTTTATTAATTTTATGAGTGCTCGTGGAGGTCGAAGTGTGCAAGCCACAAACTTTTACCTAGTATTATTGTACATGTTATGTATTTAATGTCAGAGTCATCTACTATCCATTTTACCCTACATTGCCGATTTAACGACAGTTCACGGTAGACGAGAGTAAATACCAGATACAATATACAGGGATGCTGCCGATTTCACGACAGTTCGTGGTAGACGAGAGTAAATACCAGATACAATATACAGGGATGCTGATAAAAACAACAATCATGTATGCATTTTGGAACGTTTCTAGAGGTTATGCAAATGCAACATGTATATTAAATATAGACAAAAGTATCTTTTTTCTTCATATTAACATCATCTTCCACATCGACTTGTCCGAGTCAGATTGATGTAGTCAATTCACGGACATATCCTGAGTACAGAGTTAGTAAAATACCTGAATTTTTGTGTACAATAGACTTTTATATTTTGGTAAAAGCTTGCCACATTTCATGTAGATACACGTAGTAAATTCAGAATTATAGTAAACATTCCTTCTCCGTTATGGACTTGGTCCAATGGATTGAGCCATTGCATATTTGGTTAAGTTACTTCCTAGTTGGTGTTGCTTTTTTTGAAAGAAAATAATATTTAGTAATCAGAAAACAATCTGACTGTGAAAAGATTAATGCATGCAAAACTGAGAAAAATTTTGAAGAATGAAACCAAAAATATCACCTTGGAAGGTGTGGTTCATTTTTAATGTATATTGATTTTTTTTTTCTAATGGGCAAGGTTAGCTAGAACGAATAGTAAAATTCTTAATAGGGAGTTCAGCCAAGGGAGTAAAAATTATACTGGCTAAAAATGGGAATACAGGCATACTTGTTAAATTTTGTTTTCTCTTGTGGTTCTCTAAGCTGCATATTTTTTACAAGCTGCAGAGTGTTTGACTAGTGTACTTAGGTTGCATTACGTGAAAAGCCATATAACAGATATTGATTAGAATTTTGTATTGTGTTCTTTTATATGCTGATCCATGAAGAGACCTGGGTGTACAATTCATAGTTTTTTACTACAAGGTCCTTATTAAGACGTTGTATTTACTGCATTTTACAAGATCTAAATTATGACGCCACATATTAACATCTCATATTAAGACGTTGTATTTACTGTATTTTACAAGATCTAAATTATGATGCCACATTTACTGTACTACAACTCGTATTAAGACGTTGTATTTACTGCATTTTACAAGATCTAAATTATGACGCCACATTTACTGTACTACATCTCATATTACGACGTTGTATTTACTGTATTTTACAAGATCCAAATTATGACACTACATTTACTGTACTACATCTCATATTAAGACGTTGTATTTACTGTATCTCACAAGATCTAAATTATGATGCCACATTTACTGTACTACATCTCATATTAAGACGTTGTATTTACTGTATTTTACAAGATCTAAATTATGACGCTACATTTACTGTACTACATCTCATATTAAGACGTATTTACTGTATTTTACAAGATCTAAATTATGACGCTACATTTTCTGTATTACAACTTGTATTACGACGTTG